GAAATGAAGTCTTAGGTTCTTCTCTCTACATACTTTTCCGATCAATGAATCAGCCTTACAAGGACAGGAGGGAAAGAAGGGGATTGCTACTGGGAAACTCACGTGAAAAAGAATTGCAAACTCAGTATGAAGCAGCAATGCAACATGGCAGTCACTTGTCTCCCCCCCCCATATATTTTTTGCTTGTCTTTCCACTCACTACGTAACCCTGGCAATCTGGTGTCTGAGACTGCTCTGTCCAAGGTTCCTAAACATTGCTTAGCTAATACCTCTTTTTCTCAGTAGTCTTGACCTCTCTGTAGTTGTTGATTCTGTTAAGACTCACTCTGATAGGGTACTCTCTCGTGCCTTGATTTCAAGGGCACTGTTCCTTCCTGCTTTTTCTACTTCTCTGACAAGTCTTTCTCAGTTTTTTTGCTAAAACCATCATCCATTCCCACCCCCTAACAATGGGTAGCCCACAAGGTTTGATCCTGATCCGTCTTCCTCTTATCTCTTTCCCCTCTGTCTGTCTTGGTGATCTTACCTTCTCCCAGGGGTTCAATTATGATCTCTATTCAGATGACCCCCAACTCTATGTTCAGTCCTAGGTGGTGAAGTGGATAGAGGGCTGGGCCTGGAGTCAATTATATTCATCTTACCGAGTTCAAGTATAGCCTCAGACACTTACTAGCTCCGGGACCCTGGGCATGTCACTTCACCCTGTTTGCCTCAATCTCCTCATCTGTAAAATGATCTGGAGAAGAAAGTGGCAAACTATTCTCGGATCTGCCAAGAAAACCCCATGTGGGCTCATAAAGCGTCAGATGTGACTGAAAGTATTGAATAATAACAAATCTCTCCCCTGAATTCCAACCCCAATCGCTAATGCCTTGATGACACTGTTGTCTCCTGCATCTCCAGGCTGTGTTTTTCTCCACCTAGATGTTGCATTGACATCTCAAACAAAGCATTTCAAAAAGTGAGCTCCTTTTCTTCAGGGCCATAACTAGGAATCTTTGTTTCCTGGGTAAGCAGTGCAAACTCTGGCTGAGTCAAGTGATATAAAGCACATGGTCAGGGATTATATCCTTTGGCAGACAGCTCAGGACAACTCAGGATACTGACAGGAGATCACTGCAGGGGTGGCTGAGAGAGTGCCCGCCATCTGAAAGCTTTTTGTTTTAACTAATTATTCCTGCTAAGTTGGTGCTAAGCTCTATTATTTCTACATTGCTGAAGGAGAGTAAGTGCTAATAGAACCCCTAAATTCAGTGCCCTCTTAATTCAGCACCCTGGGGACTAAGCCCGAATTGCTCTACCCTAGTTCTAGCTCTGATTAGCTCTCCCGTCCCAAGTCTACTTCTCCTCTAAACCTCATTCTTATTGTTGAATGCCTCACAATCTTTTCAGTCATCTTTGATCCTTCACTATTCCTTGTCCTGCGTCTCCAATGTATTTCCAAGTCTTCTCAGATTTCCTTTGCATAAATCAATCAATGAGTCCTTGCTTTGAGCTTAGAATGTGCCAAGCCTCTGTCCCCTCCTTTCTACTCACATGGCCACTGCTTTTGTTAATACTATCATCCTCTCTTGTAGGTATTCTTCTAAAAGTCACAGCACTCTCCTGCTCAAACACTTTCAATGGCTCCCTGTTTCCTCTTGGATAGCATACAGACTTCTTCCCCTGACCTTGAAAGTCCTCTATAATCTGGCCCTAACCTTCCTTTCCAGATTTGATTTCATATCACTTACTGTCACTCAGCTAAACTGTTCCCCAAACTTGGCATTGCGTGTCCCATCTCTGTGCCTCTAAACAGCCCATCTCCTATGCCTGGACTGCATTCTCTTCTCACTGTTACCTCTTAGGATCCTCCTCTTCCTTCAAAGCTCTGCTCAGGCACCACCTCATAGAGGAAGCCTTCCCTGATTGCACCAGTAGCTAGTGCTGTCCCCCACTGCAATGATCTTCTATTTGATTCTTTGTGTAGCACCGCCCCCCTCCCCCAGGAGAATATAATCTCCTTGTGGGGCAGAAGCAGTTTCATTTTTGTCTTTGTATTTTCAGCACCTAGCACAGTACAAGTACATAGTAGGTACTTAATGTTTGTTGAATTAAATTGTAGACAAAGAGAGGCAGTTTTATGCTCAACACAAGGAAACAACTTCCTAACGATTAGAGCTATCCACAAGTGGAGTAGTATGTTGGGGGAGGGGTGATTTCTCCATCAATTTGGAATCTGCTTGGAAGCTTTTGGAACCTGTAGTGGGGATTTGGTAGAGGAGGGACCTTTTCACTTACAGATTGCACTGCACATTTTCTGATGTCTCTTCCTGTTGTGTGCCGGTGGGTCCCCAGCTGACGTAGTGCACTTAGTCAGCTATCCCACCCAAGCCTTCGCTTGCATACTCACCCCACAGTCTTCAGATGTCTCTGCCCCCCCCCCCCCCCCCCCCCCCCCGCGGGCTTCGGCGGCCCCCCCCCCCCCCCCCCCCCCCCGTGGTGAGAGGGGAATGACTAGACAGAACACCCGAGTTGGCAGTTGCGTCTTTATTGATTACATAGCTTGCTACACTACTACTTGCTCTGCTCGCTCCCTGCCCAAGTTTTCTCTCGCCCCCTCCTCGCTGCTTTTTTATTCCCCCCAAACTCCTCCCCCCTACGCCCGTGCTCCTCCTCCGTTCCTCCTTCGTAGGTGGAGCTCCCTCCTGTTACAGAGGCCCTCCCAGTGCCCATGCAACGGTTGGTACACGTCGGGCGTCTCTGGGCAAGCCCAGGTGCTCCTGGGCAGGTAATAACCTCCAGGCGTCTCAACTCCCCTACAGGAGGCCAGAGGTCCAGAGCAGGGCCCTAACATCTTCCAATTTCTCTGGGCTGGTGTTTCTCTGAAGTTCTCTATTCTGTGGCTACTTCATCTAGTGGACATGTTGACCTGTCTTGCCATTCCAGAGATTGGTCGATCTCTGGCTGTTTTAACTTGTGGCTGTGATGAATCTTTGCTTCTGGCTCTCAGGTAACGTGTTGATAGGCACCTCCCTCATTTCCTCCTATCACTGAGTCTGCCACTTCTCATGGATGCATGCTGATTTCCCCTCCCAGCAAGGATTGGACAGGTGTGTTCCAAGTTGTAACACAAGATTCCAGGAAAATATGTTATTGTCATCCTTAGTCCATGGGAGCTCCCCATCCTCTTACTGGCCAGACTCCTACAAAGACAGAGGTGGAGGGTAGAGGAACTTACAGACCCTCGGCTGTGGGCTGGGCTCCAGTTAGGGTGGAGAGGGGCTTGGGCTTTAACAGCTGAACTAGAGACAGGTCATTATCTCCCTGCCACAAAAAAACCCCTAAAAAAAACCCAAACAAACAAATCGGGAGGCAGGACAGCTGAGCTGTAGGGACAAGATGATAACAATCAATACCTCTAATGAGGACGCCAGCATAGGGCCTTCTCTGAGGCTGTGTGCAGTAGATGAAGACACAGAGACCCAAAACATCTGGGCTGGTGTTCATTCAACTGCCCCCTATATTGTGCCTTCAGATATGAGGGAGAGCAAGAGTGGAGGGGAAATTTAGCTCCAGGAATTTGGTCTTATATGCTTATGTTTTAGCACTGAAGTTTTATTCTTGAGATTTGGTTTTCCTGAGTTGCTTTTTCCAGGTGTTTGGGTGTCTGAGTCTCTTGTGTTCATGGGGAAGTCATATGTGGCAGGTTGTGCTATGAGCTGCCTGAGGTCTTGGGAACAGAAAATACCTAATGTTTGGGGCAGATGATGAATTTGTCTTTCGAGGTCAGCAGAGAACTCATGACACTGTTTTTGGGAAACCTCTGCTTGTCTGTGCTTATTCTAGAAGTCAAGGGATCTTGACACTCCTGGTCATTGTGAGGGCAGTAAGGAACATCAATGTGTATTTATATGACCGGGTCATTTCTAAGTCTTTAGACTCCTTATCTGATTCTCTTTTTGTTTTGTGTGTATCTCATTTCTTTGTCCTAAGTTGAATGTAGGCAACCTTAAGGGCAGGGATTGTCTTCTCTTGCCTTTTCTACAGTGCTGAGGACAGGTGCCCAGTCAAAAGCCGTAAGTTGATTAAGAACAGGTGAGACAGGTGATCCATTAGAGATAAAAGCATATTCTCAAAGGAATTCTGGGATGTGTCCCAAGAGGTGTGGAAGGTTGTGTCAAAATTTAGTAGCAACAAAAACCATGTCCTCTGTTCTTACTAGCTATGTGACCCTGGACAGGTGGCTTAACCTCTCTGGGCTGTGGTTTCCCCATCTAAAAAATGAGGATGATAATAATACTGCAATGCCCTGAGAATTGGAAATGGGAAAAATGCCGACTTTGGACAATGACCTTTTATGTAACTATGGACAAGTCACCTTCCCCCTTCTGAGCCTCAGTTTACTCCTTTGTAAAGGCAGTTAGCTTGGATGAACTCTAAGGTCACTTCCAGCTCTAACATTCTCTAAGATCACAGATTTTGAGCTGGAAGATGCCTGAAGGGTCATCTAGGCCAAACTTTTAATTTTACAGATGAGAAACCTGAGGTCGAGGGAGGTGAAGAAACTGGTCACATGGATAGTAAGTGGCCAAGTGAGGATTCGAACCCATGTTTTTGATTCCAAATCCAGAGCTCTTTCCACTTTACCTTAAGTTTAGATAATCTCTAAAGTTTCTTTCAGATTAACATCCTTCAAGTGAGGAGATGTGGCTTTGACACTTACAAGCTCTGTGACCTTGAGAAATCACTTCACCTTTTTGGGCCTCAGTTTACTCACCTGTAAAATGAGGATAACCCATTTATACTACCTCCTCTCCAGGGGTGTTGGGAGGGCCAAATAAGACAGTATACGTGAGGGATCTTGCAAAGCCTGAGTTGTTTTGTGAGTTGCATTTCCCAGACCACTCCCCACCATCCCCCCAAGAAACTTCCCCCTCCAAACCAAAAGCAAACTCTATATGAAGCAAGACAGTTTTGGCTCATCAGAGTATCAGGAGTCAGGTGGATTTGACCTTTATTGTTTCTACCAGCGTTTTACAGAGTAGTGATAGAGTTACAGGGCTGCAGGGAACAGTTGGAGTAAAAAATAGCATAAATAAAAAGGAGAGAAACCAAGGAGGTCGGCAGGAGGTGACTGGAGTCCGGTCATTCAGGGGCAGTCGAAGGGCCTGGGGTGGTCAGAGCTGTTTATGATTCAGCCACCAGAGCTGTGAATTCTGCAAGAAACAACAAGGACAGTGGGAGTGGGTGGAGGAGAGACAAAGGGAAATGAATCCGAGGGACGTTGGTGAAGGCAAGGGGCAGGGCAGCTGGGTGGGTCCTAGCCCCCTCATGCACGCTGTTGCTCACAAACCGAGAAGCAGACCTGGCCTGGAGGCCAGAGGGCTCATGGGCTCCTGTTTGCAAAAAAAAAAAAAAAAAGGTGGGGGAGGTGACCCTCAAACATCATTCCAAATCTCCAGGTCCAGCTCAGGAATTGCTAAAATGATATAGGGAAAGAGCACTGTGTTGGAGTCATCAGAGGAACTGAGTTCAGATACCACCTCTGCCACATTGTACCTGTGTGACCTTGGGCAAATAACTTAACTTCGTTGAGATTAAGTTTTGAGGGAGTTGAACTGAAAGGTGTTTGAAGTTCCTTTGGGCTCCAAGGTAACAATCCTCTGACAAATCTGGGCTCTGCTGAATACTACCTGTGTGATCTCGGGCTTCTCGGATTCTGGCCTCTTCCAGCTCTAGGTGGTGAGGTGGATAGAGTGCCAGATCTGGAGGCAGGAAGGCTCATCTTTCTGAGTTCAAATCTGCCCTCAGACACTTCCTAGTTGTGTGACCCTGGGCAAGTCACTTCACCCTGTTTGTCTCAGTTTCCTCATCTGTAAAATGAGCTGGAGAAGGAAAGGGCAAACATTCCAGTATCTTTGCTGAGAAAACCCCAAATGGGGTTTGACACAGCTGCACAATAAAAATGATACTTTAGCAAATTCTAGCTCTGCTGCTTATAGTCTATGTGACCGTGGGCAAATTGGTTCATCATTCCGGGTCTCTGTTTTCTCATCAACAAAATGAAAGAGTTGCACTAGATGGTCTATGGGGGCTCTTTCATTTCTAAAATCCTGTGCTCAACCTGATTGTAATCAAAAGCATTCTGGCACAGGACAGGAGACCTGGCTTTTAATCCCTCATTATTGTGTGACCTTGGGCAATCCGGTGATATCTTTGGCATCAGTTTCCCCATTTGCCAAATGAGGGGTTTGATCCTGGTGAGCCCTGAGCTCTCTTCTACCATCTACAGCTCCAAGGCCCCCTCCTCCAGGGAGCCATCCTTGACCATTCTGTACCTTGTGCCCTCTCTCTCCTCTGAGAGCACAGCAGTGATCGCCTGTCCTATTCACTTGGCACGTAGCAGACATCTGCTGCATCATGACGTCTCTGATGCTGTCGCCTTGCATGGCTTTTTAACTCTTAACTTGCTACTCAGTTTTTCTCGCGTTTACTTCATGACTCTGCAGTCAGATGGTAAATTCCTTGAGGGCAAAGACTAGGCCTTACATTGCTTTGCATTCTTTACAGGGCCTGGTACAGGCTGGGCACCTACTGGCATCCAGTTAATGCACTGATTAATGAAATCATGTTGCCAACTCCGTGTTCCCCGAGCTTCCCTTTTCTTCCTGATTGTCTAGTCCACTACACTGTATGGTCATTTCAAGCCTGAAGCTAAGAGATGAGGGCAAGAAGAATCAAAGGACCATAGATTGAAAGCTGGAGGGGACTTTTGGGTCCCTTCTCATTGAGTCCCCTCACTGAGTCTCCCTTCTCATTTTTTTCAGATGAGGAAATTGGGACCTAGAGAGGCAAGGTCACACAAACAGTAAAAGGCATAGGTAGGATTCAAACCCAGGTCCTATGTCTCCAGAGCCAACACCCTTTGTACGGCACTCCTCTAACTTTTGTCCCCCATCCTCTCCCAAGTCTGCTCTCTCTAAGATCACCAATAACTTCCCAATCACCAAATCCAATGGCCTTAAAAATACCCCTCATCCTTCGTAAGCCCTCCGCAGCATTTGACATTGGTGATTCCCTGCCCCCCCTTTCTGAATACTCCCCTCCTTTGGTTTCAGAGATGACACACTCGATAGTTCTCCTTTGAATTCTTCCTTCTGTGACCTTGAATGGCTCTGAGTCTTTTCCCCGACCCCTTAAGGTGAGTTTCTCTTTTTAGATCTCTTCCCTTTTATACTCTTCCCCCACAGCAATGTCACACACTCCCATTTGTGCATCCGTATGCATGTCAGGTCTAGCCATTGTAACCTCATTAGTCTGGGCAAGTTGAACTTGAATTCTCTTGGCCTATATTTCCTCATCTGTAAAATGAGGAGGTCGGACCAGATGGGTCCTGAGGATCTTTCCATATCTGTATCTATGATCACCTTTCTCTTTCTGGGCCTCAGTTTCCTTAACTGTAAAATGAAGAACTCAGATGAGATGGCCTGGGAGGGGACATCCCTTCCAGCTCTAGGTCTCTGACCCTCCCTATCAACTAGGATCCCATGACTCCTCTCTGAACCTCAGTTTTCCTTCTCTGAAGAATGAAGAGGTTGCGTTTGTCTTTGGAGTCCCTCTCAGGTCTAAACCCTACGATCTCCTACTTCTCCTCTCAATGCATTCCATCCTTGTGGCCAAACTGAAGTACTCACTGTCCTTCCTCTGTTCCTTTGTTCACGTTTGTCCCTTTATCTTCTCACCTCCCTGCCATCTGTTGAATTCCTTCTCATACCCAAATGGCACCTCCTGCAGGAAGCCTTTGTCATCTGCTGTCCCTTGACCCCATTAGCAATATCCATGCACCCCTCCCAGATCATTGCATTTGGAAGTTTAGGCTAACATTCCCTTTGATAATGTTGGAATGGATCCAAATGTCCTTTATGACACATGTATATGTAGTTTACATTACTGTCCATTCTGGGGCATCTAACCACATTTTTTCTCTAATAGAATATAACCTCTTTGAGGGCAGGCACAGTTTTACCTTATAAATTTTCCCAACACCTAGCTCAGTGCCTGGTACATAGCAGGAGCTTAATAAATGCTTATTGAGTGTGGTACCATAGAACTATCACTGATTCTCAAATCTGAGGACATGAGTTCAAATTTCAAATATCATCTTTTCCATCTGTAGGACTTCATCTGACCTCCTTGGGTCACAGTTTATTCATCTGAAAAATATTTGGTTTGTCTGGATAGCTTCAGACATCTCTGAAACAACATTTTATGGTTTTGTAAATCAAATTGGATTGAATTCTAGAATGCATTTGTATATTCTTTTGTGAGATAGTTCTTAGTGCGCAGATCAAATCCTTTCCCCTGAGGGCCAAGACCTCACATAACAGGCTGCATGAAGGATACCTACTTGCTGAATTTAAGTGAAGCCCTTACTATATGTAAGGCACTGTCTTCAACACTCTATACACACATATACACACATATCTATCTATCTATCTATCTGTCTATCTATCTATCTATCTATCTCTCTAGTACCTCTTGGATCAAATAAGCCTCCTTAGTTTGGCATTTAGACCTCTGCACAACCTGGCCTTGACCTACCTTTCTAGCCCAATTACCCATTATTCCCCTTCACACACTGTCCAATCCAGCCAAACTGTTCTTCCTGATATGTCTCATATGCAACACTCCATTCCTGTCTCATGGACGGCCCAGCCTGTTCTCCATTCAAAGAATGTTCTCCAGCCTCCCTTCTGCCTCTTAGAGCTCTTATTTCCCTTTGAGATTTAGCTCAGCTACCACATCCCACATGAGCACATTCACAGCTAGTGCCTTGTCCCTCCAAATTACTCCGTACTTATTTTTTACACAAAACAGCTAGAACCACGGTGGATAAAGTGCTGACTTGGGGTCAGAAAGCCTTCAATTCAAATCCTGTCTCAGATCCTTACTAACTGTGTGATCCTGGGCAAGTCACTTAACTCCATTTCCTCATCTGTAAAATGAGGGGGCTGGTCTCTGAGGTCCTTTCCAGCTGAGATCAGATGAGAAAATACTTAAGAAAGCTTTAGTGCAATGTACTTAGTGAATGCTCGTGCCCTTCCCTTTCCCTATAGAAGTACATGTTGTCTTCTCTGATAGATTGTAAGCTGCTTAAGGAATTGTTTTGTCTTGGGTCCCTAGAAACTAGCACAGTGCCTGGCCTGGAGTGGTGAGCCAGTCAATAAGCACTTATTAAGCACCTACTATGTGCCAGTAAGTGTGCTCAGCACTGACGATCCAATTCTCCTAATAATCACTTGTTGATTGGTTGATAGATTGAGAGTGATGGTACAATTGTTTGTCCTTCATTCTTGAAAGGACCATGGCATCAGGGAGGTGATGCCATGACATGCAAGTGAATTGGATTGAAGTGAGGGAGGGCTGTGCAAAGTCACCAGCCTCACTGTCTCCTCAGGAGTCATCTGAGTTCAGTGGCCAGATATAGATCAGTATGACTGGAGATGGCCCAGAATGCAGTGGGGGACCTTGGCCTCTTTAAGCTCAGGTCTTTAACAGGTCTCTTTTTGACTAAGGCAACACCCATTCAGTGATTAAGGTTAGGTAATAGACAGATACTCAATAGCGGATTCAGAAAACGTGGGCTTCAGGCCCAGTTTTGTGACCCTGATCAAATCGTTGGGAACCTTAGTTGACTTATCTGTCAAACAGGGGATGGATAGTCATACTTCTTGGAGCTGTATGAGGACTAAGCAAGCTAATCTGGATAAGTTTGTGAGAGTACTGAGTGCCATATGCATGCTGGTTACTGGTGGAAAAATTAAGGAATGGCCTTTGAATCAGATCTAGATTTGCCTTCAGAATTTGATGCTTATTAGCTGTGTAGCCTTATCTTCTGAGCCTCGATTTCTTTGTCTGCAAAATGAGGACAGTACTAGACCCACTTCTTACTTTCATGTATCCCTTTGAGGAAAACACTTTGGGAATCTTAATTAATGAGCCACTGTAATTAAGCCCAGAGAGTGGAAGTGACTCTGGGGGCCCGGAAAGTGGAAGTGATTTGCCCAAAGTCACAGCAGCTTAGGCTAATAACTCTTCCTGCCTGTCTCATAGGAGAGTCAGAGTGGTATAAATGGGAGCTTGTCTTTCTTCAGAAGGAGAAGACCTGGGTTGGATTCTTCTCTTGGATACCTGAGCAAGTCACTTAACCTTAACT